TACACATTCAAATTTTCAATAGAAAAAACTACCTACATTGTAATATACCCAAATGACAAAATGCACAATCAATTCACATTTCAATATCAAAATACCCAAATGTTGATATCTACATTCAAGTCTACATTTCAATACCCAAATCTAAAAACATTCAAATCTACCCAAATCTCAAAATACACAATTAAATTTACGAACAATTTCATATCAAAATTCAACATTTCATACATATTCACATTACACAACAAATCAATTCACAAATGAATTCCTAATTTACAAAATCGAATTTTCAATATTCAAAACCCTAACATGAAAAATGAGATAAATTGGAGAGATTTACTTACCTAGAGTGTTGAAGAAGATGGAGATGAAAGATTATTGGCAAGATGGAGAAGACCTCGCCGTCACCGGAGCTCAAGATTCGCCGGAGATGGAGCTGCACGTCGCCTTTATCGCTTGCGTTCAGTTCGCCAGAGGTTGGTTTTTGATTTCTTCTGCGTTCTGTTCTGTGGCTTGGCCTTACCCAATAATTTTACTTAAGGGTAAGCCGCCAAACCGTTTGGCAACTTATAAGTCGCCCAACGGTTAGGCGACTTATAAGTCACCCAACGGTTTGGCGACTTACCCCGACCATGGTTAATTGGGCAGTATATTGGTAAATAGTTTTAACCCAACCCTATTTTCGTAATTACTTAATTAATTAACATTAATACGGAAAAAATCTCAAATAGAACATTTATTAAATATAGAATAAAATGGTTTCTGAATTATTTCTAAAAAATATATACTCCTAAATATCTTGTTGGATGCCTCACTTCCAACAGGAGGGTGTACTGTGCCACATAATTTTTTTATGAATTATATAAAATTTCTAATAATTTCAGTGTGGATCTGACCCATCTATAGTCACATTTAAACAGATAATCACATAAAATTTAATCAGATAAAAATTCATCACATAAGAGTAGTTCGAGTAGTTCACTGTATTAATCATGTAAATCATTTTGAGATGTTTTAATAATACCCCGTAGTACATTACAATATTAATGTATCAGACAAACTAAAATTAGATACCTCCGTCCCAAATTGATTTGAAAATTTGACTTTTCTTAGTCAAACAGTTTCGTTTTGTTCACTTAATTAAAATAACAATTTTTAATTATATTCTAATTTGAAGTGTACAACTTCGAAGAGATTTTAATGTAGTTTATGAATATATAAATTTTAAGTAGTATAAATTGAATTAATTATCCATGAGGGAGAATTGACTTTTATTACTGGTTGACCAAAAAATGTTGTCTTTGCCAAACAAATTAGGACGGAGGGAGTAATATTTTAATTAGATAAAAATTTATCGGTTATAAAAAATAAATGTGTTCGGAATTATAATTTGAATAATTTACATAAAATGGTTTTGGAATTATGAAAAAGGGGCAATTTTAAACAATTATTTAAAAAAATAAATTAAATATTTATGTTTTACCAATTTTGCATAAATCGAAGTGGAATCATTAAACAAAAAAAGCTGGTCGGATTCCTCAAATCCAATAGGAAGTTTTATCCAATTTTTTTTTTTGTAAAAAAAACTTGTGGTCGAAAACCCCAGCTCCTGTCGGAATCTGCACTTCCGGCTCCCCTAAAAGTCTAAGCTTTTCCGTATATTGGAAAATCATGCCATTCTTGATTTTTTTTTCCCATCCCGGAAGGCAAACCACCAAAATCAGTGGGGCAAATGTCGGGAGTTAGATGCCGGAGTTTTATTAGATATCAATGCAGGACTACAGGGAAAAGAGAAGGACCAGACCAAAACCTCTCCAAAAAAGACAATGGAAGAAAAATACAGCATGAGTGACATTCCACCCAAGAAATTAATAAAAACATCTAAATGAAGGAAAGCTAAATAAATCTCTCAAGCACGCCGTTCTTGTTTATATGACTATCTATATACTCCGTAATTAATTTCCTGTGCCAAAATATCAACTATAGATCGAGTTTGCAAATTAAATCGGATCTATTTCTACTATTTTTACTATTTTCTCACGCATCGAGGGCGTGCTTGAGTTGCCTACAATCTACCAGGCCACGACAGAACGTTCCTACAAGTGATGTTTACGGTCAATGTAAATTTGACCATAAAAATGAAATTTGGTAAAAGATAAGTAGCTAATTAATACGAATAACAAAATAGTATAAAAATAAATATTATTAAATGACAATTTAACTATCAAATATTAAAAGTAATACATTTATAGCGTCATTTTATCATAATGATCTTATTATGGGGGTGTTTGGAGGCCTAAAAATAGGCTGAAAAGCCTGAAAATACAAAAAAGTAGCCAAACACAGGCCAAATGGGATGTTTGGGCTGTTTTTTCTGATCAGCCAAAAAAGTAGGATTTTTTACAAGAGTATTACATTACTAAAATAAAACTTATTTACATAAATATGACTATTCATTACTACAACGTAGTGTTGTGGTAACTTAAGTTCAAAACTTGAACACGAATTACTATGATTTCATTACTACTCTAGTAATTAATCATATTTTTGTAAATCATGTTTATTTTGGTCATATTTATGTAATTATTTCAAAAAAGTAACATATCTCTTACTTTTTAAGCTAGAATTTCTTAATGTACCGTTGTCCATCTAAAAATACTTCCATACCCTTTCATTTTAAGCCTAATACATCGCTACGCCTCATGCATCGCAGGCGCTCTGTTCATCCATATCGATGAAGACGAGAAGCTCTTCCATGGCTGCGCCATAGTGGATCGATGACTTCACGCTCGATTGCACCATAGTTTCGGCCTTCCAGATCGACGAACTCTTGCTTGGATTCTCCATATTCACTTTTCTATTCTTTGGGAGATTTTTTCAATTAAAAGAGGCCTGGGTGTGTGAGTTACTGAAATTTCATAGTTTTTGTGAGTCAAGTGCTCCGTGACTTAACAACCTAAAAATTTAAGTCCTGAATAACCACTATCCATTCTTTTGTTGAGCACTTATATCCTGAACTTTCAGAGAAACTGTACACATAAATAGACCAAACTGAAAAATGTAGAGGGTGTAAGAGTAGGATTGTAGGAATACCATCTTTAAATAGAATAATCAAACTGGAAGTAAGCTAATGAAGGGAGAAGTGAGACTGTCTTTTTTCACCTTTCTATACTTTTGCAGATTTTTTTCAATTACAAGATGCCATGTATGGTGCATTGGTGTCTTAACAGGAAGTAGCAAGAATGTGATCCATACTGAGATTGAATCCTACTGGATTGTGTGGAACTAAGCAGCTACACCAACACTAAGGATCTGACGTGTCACTTAGTTAGATAATTAGTTAGAATCAACTGATTAGTTGAATCGTTGGCTCACCATGTACATATATATATATATATATATATATATATATATATATATATATATATATATATATATATATATATATATATATATATATATATATATATATATATATATATATATATAAAACATCTGAACAACTGTAGCTGTAGCTTGCTGAATCATTTTTCAATGAGATTTTCTTTACTCAATTTCCAGAGTCTTCTTCTTCCTTGTTCTTCAATCTTCATTGCTGCTAAGCTGCGATATGCTCTGTAATGGAGATTAGATAGATTTCATATGGTATCAGAGCATCAATATCAGTAAGCGATCCAATTCGTATCATCAGTTTCTTATCCATAATCTCAATTCCAAGTTATCGGACTTTTTCTCCTCTTCGATCCTCTTTTCCGAAAATGCCAGAAACTACGGATTCAAATTTTCATTTATCTCATAATTCTCAGAATTATGATTTCTTCGATGATCCGCGATGATCCGCTTTTCCTTTCTTCATCGGATCAACCTAATCTGAAACTTGTAGATAACCTGTTTGATGGAACAAATTTTCTCTCATGGAAGCGTGATGTCACCATGGCTTTGGCATCAAAGAACAAGTCTGGATTTCTCGATGGCAAATGTTCTGCACCTGATAAGAAAGATAAAAGGTATCATAAATAGCTTCGTTGTGACCCAATGGTTATGAAATGGCTGCTTAATTCAATGGATAAAGTCATAAAAGAAAACCTGATGTATTCTAATACATCTAAGGAACTGTGGTCAGAAATTACACAAAGATATGGTCAAACTAATGGATTGGAGATCTATCAGCTTAAGAAAGAAATAAGTAATCTCACACAAGAAAATCAACCATTGATTCACTATTTCAACCATCTGAAGAGAAAATGGGAAGATGTTGACAGTCTAGATCCTGTACCAGATTGCACTTAGTCTTTGTACCTGTCAATTACTCAAACGGATTCTTGACAAAGAGAATCATTCAAAACTTATTCAGCTGTTAATAGGGCTTAATTCTGGATATGAGAATGTGAAGAGCACTATTTTGACCATGGATCCACTTCCACAGATGAACAAAGCTTTATCACTTCTGCAAAAAATTGAGAGACAAAAACAAATTATTGATGCACTGGATGTTCTTACAGAAGCAAATGCTTATGCTTCTTTATCCACAGAAGGAAATAATAACAAAAGGAATGATGATCAAAGAAGAGAAGATAATTGGAACACTTGGAAGAGAACAAAAACTGAAGATGATGAGATCGATTTATGGTTATGCTGCTGTTGCAGCAAAGATAATAATCATCTTGTAGCCAATCTACCAAAATAAGCCAATCCAACCATCTTGTAGCCTGTTTGGTAATACCCAAATCATCTATATTGGCTAATTCTGCTAAAATATATAAAGTGTTGGTTGAAGTGGCTGGATTGACTGATGTTCCCTATTTATGAGAAATTATATTTAAAATATACTTCAATAATAAAATGAAGAAAAAATTATATGAAAAACAGCGAAAAAGATCTTTTATAGTAACTTCAGTCAATACAGGCAGAAAAGTAACTATAACCTTACTTTTTGTTAGTATTACTAGTGTAAGAGAATGATGGATTATAGATGTTTTTTTTTTTTTGTTTTTTTTTTTTTTTTTTTACAGAATCAGTCTGTAATGTACTACACATTTGATTACAAACATACAGGTGCATTCTTGAAAATAAAAATGTCAGTCATGGTTGTGGTTTTTTGAAGGGAGTACTAATATCCAAAAAGAATACCTACGTGCTAGAAAAGCTCATTCTTGCTCATAAGATCCATTTCAGCACACATGAGATAGTACGGAGTAATCCCAAATCACATTATTATGCAAACTATACATGATGCGGAACACTACCCTTCTCCAATCACATTAGGTCATTAGCAAAGGGTCGCACAAAATGGGTGGTTTTGGATTAACGGGTTTCTACTTTGATTCCACTTCTTCGATTTGTTGACGCGCTAGATATTTTTCTCGTCGCTCCTTCCATTCATCAATTACAAGACCTTCTCCCACAACTTTTGGACCTGTATCGACCACAGGTTTCTTGTAAGCTTCTGTAGCAGCATCAGCTTCGGCCAACTGGCGCTTCAACTTATCCAGTGCCGAAGAAGGGCGTTCTGGGTCCAGGAAAACCACTCTCAAAACTCGCTCAACAGTTGCTTTATCTTTTTGCTCTTCAAACAGCTCTGGCACATAGTCTGCACCTTTTTTTATTGTCAAGCTCAAGATCTTGAACTTGACCTTGCTTTTTTTATCCAAGGGCGGTTTTTCGTTTTTCTCTGGATGCTCCACAAATTTGAAGACAGTGACAATAATGTTTTCACCAGGCACAAGAATACCTCCCGGAGGTCGCATATAACAGCTCTTTGGTGATGTTGTTTGAAACTTAAAAGCTACATAAGATTTGCTATTGTTCTTAATCCTAACAGCACTCCTCGTCTGCTTTCCTGGTTCATAAAAATATAGATTATTAGCTGGATCGAGGCGCAGGCGACGGTGAGCAGGGAGGAAGGATCTAGCAACGGAAGAGAGAGAGATAGAGGTGGCCGAGGTAGAGGATCTAACACCGTCACGGCGTGCAGAGTTGAGGTTCTGAGTGGAAGAGGGTGATGAAGATGATGGATTATAGATGTTTTTAATTAAATTAATTTAAGTCAATTTATCGGATTAGATCTAGTGAGACTTAAATAGATTAATTTAGACGAGACTATACTTCGATAACAGTAAAATACAATAAAACAAACATCTATCATATAAGATCAGACATCTATCATATCTTCGATATGATTACAATAAAACCAATAAAACGAGCATCTATCATATCTTTGATTACAGTTCAAAAAAATTATATTAGATCAGATTAGATCAGACTTAGACAGATAAAAAAATGTACTACCTCAATCCTTTTTTATGTAGCCATCTTTGGCTTTTCCAATCAAAAGTGATAAACTTTGATCCATTATTTTGACTAATATATTTATGTGAAACTTAATAAATTTATACTTTTATGATAACATTTTTAAACAAAGAACATTTTATATAATTTTCATATTATCAATATTACTTCGATAATCGATTAGATAAACATATAATCGATCAAAGTTGAACAACTTATTTTAGAATTTGAGAATATAAAATTAATCCAAAAGTGCACCCATTTCATTCACCACTTAGGGCCACAAATAGCATTAATTCCACTATATTTATCAATTGATTTTAAAGTCAATCCTTTTGCACATACTGGATCTCATTTCTAGAGAATACTCTTCCTCCCCATAGCTCTTGCCTGAACCAAGTTTTTATACTACGTATATCACACGCTTCTTTGAACTTTTGAAGTTTTATTGCGATGCAATTTTAAGGAAGATGAGGATACACTTGAAAAGCTCTTCACCAATGGTAATTTTTATCTTCCATTCTTTCCATAATTTGTTAATTATCTATACTAAATCATTAAATATGTAAAAATATACGGGTCTTATTTGAGTTATCTCAAATCTTGTTCTGGTTTTATCGTATTACTCCGCTAATAGGTTTTATTAGTAATTTAAATTTAGCAACAAAATCTTAAATTAGGTTTGCCGCTACTTTTTTATGTTTTGGCGGTCTCCCAAAAATTTACTTTGTATAATAGGATACATATATAATTGAATTCTCGATACTCTTCAGTCTTCACACGATATCTCAACCCTAGTTTTTTACTCTTTCGTGGAGTCTTCTCTTTCAAGGGGCGCTCTTTCGGTAAATTTTCCCAACAGGTTTAGATATTATATGTCTACGCGTATTGTTGATTGGCTCAGTAAATTAATTGATAATGCTTTTGCCATATTTCTTGTATTATAAGAATTCCTTTTCAAACTACCAGTTTAATTGATACAGAGTATATTTTATTCTCAATAATGTCTGCTCAATAATTGTAAACATATGTTCAAAATTCTTCATCATACTTTGAGTTATAATTTAATACTTGATGTACAGTAGTTTCATTTACGTAGTTTTCATCATTTTTTGTGAAATGCTTTACAAATTCTGGGATTTGAGTTGTTTATTCAATTAATTTCTTATCAAATATGTTTGTTAATTTCACTAGAAAAAATTTATAACTAATAACAATTGATAAGCAATTACAAGCAGGGGTGCCTAAAAATTGCAGTGTGTATAAGTTTGTATGTGTGTATACTAGTATGTCTAAGTGGATGTGAATGTGTATATTATGGTGTATGTGCATTGTGTTTATGTGTATTTGTGCAGTGTGTGTAGATATAACATGTGTTAGTGCATGAGTCTAGTTTTTGCATTGTATCTTTAAGTGCGTGTGTATATTATGATGTATGTGCAGCCTGTGTGTCATTGTAATTGTGCAGTGTGTCTAGATTTAGTTTTAGTTAGCACCTATTTCTGTCTAACTCTTTTATATATGTTTTAGGAATGGCTCCTGGATTTAAAGGTAACCTGAAAAGAAAAAACAACTGGGAAAAACAAGATGTTGTGCATCATAATTCTAAAAGTGGTCAAGGTAATTCGACAACTACAAAAGCAACAACCAAAAGACCTCTAGACAAAACACACGTGGCATCCAATGAGACAACATTAAACACTGGACGTCCTCTTAGTCCAAGGCATGGCACTGCATCAAATCAAAATGTTGAACCTGCACCAACTGAGAGCATACGTGGACAAACACCACAAACAAATGTGCTTGGAGGTATAACACATTTTTGTATATTGAGTAGCTAGAATTCCTGGACCACATTTTTTTACACTCATGCAACCTCTAATAGAATATACAGATGGAAGTTAAATGTTGATGTATAATTAGTTGTTTGTATGTTTAGTATATGAATCTGATTATGGGAAGAACCAATATATAATAGTTAGGTCATTTGCATGGATGGATGTTCATCAAAAGTATATAGCTATACTGAGAACTTATGAAACTCTATTAAAGTATACTAAGTACTAACTATACTAATCAATTTAATATATTAAACTACTTAATGTGTAGTCAAATAGAATGGAATAGTGGTAAACATGAAAAAAAAACAGAAAAATAAGGGAGAGGAAAATAACAAATACAGAGGATGGAAAAAAATGGTAAGTGATGAAACATTAAGCTAAAATACATAATAGATTGTTTTACTTGGCAACTGTTTTTAAAGTGGTTACTGTTTTTAAACAAATGTGTTACAGATTCAACTTCACGTCCTACAAAGCGAGTACGTGGTCAAACGATGGGCAAGGGGATCATGAAGGCATATGCTTTGTCTAAGACTAAACTGAAGATAAACGTTGATCCAGTAATTGGAAGGCCTCAAAACCCTGAAGAGTCGGCAAAGCTTTCAAGCCAAATTGGTATAATTACCCGTGATGTGCTCCCTGTTCCTAGAAGGTGGAAAGAAGTAGATGAGGAAAATGGATTGACTCCTGGATTTGATCATATGCAGGTATGTATCTTTAAAAATGAGTTAGTTATTTTTACTTTGATTGTGATGTGAAAAATGCTTCCAAAAAATGCAGATGCATATGGTTGTCAATGTTGATGATGTGGGTGTGAAAGAAAGCTTGATTGAAAGGCTGAAATCTAGTATGCGACAAAAACGTTACAGGCTACATCTTCACTACAAGAAGTTTAAAACTCTGGAATTGGCTAAAATCAATAAGCCGACTTTTTATCTTGACCAAGACAACTGGGAATTGTTGTGTGACTTTTTTGCATCAGAGAAATTCAAGGTGATAACCTCAAACATAAGTGACTCTTTATACTGCATGCATATTTATATATACTAAATATGTTACATTACTTCGGGTTGAAATTAAAATTGTTTAAAATTTTGGTGTTGTTTGTGGGAATGCAACGCCAAATACTCATTGTAATTGTAACGTGTAGAAATCAAGTACCGCGAACACGGAAAATAGGAAGCTGGTGCGAGCACCACATATTTCAGGCAGAAAACCTTTCACAGTTCGACGACTTGAAATAGTAAGTCCTTGTATACATATCATTTTCATCCATTTTGGCTATATATGTTCACAATTGTTGCTACTGGTGTGATATGTATCAAGGCAATCTGTTATATAGTTTAATTTAATCTTCTTTAATTTATTTATTTTTACTTATAGTAACTTTTTGTATTTTTACTTGTGATCGGATTGAGTTGTATAAACGAACTCATTTTACAGAGAAAAAGGGCTGGTCATCTAAGGTGGCAGAAGAAAATTGGGGAAGTTATGGATGCGTTTTTCATCCTTATTTTTTACACAACCAACCTTTCATGTGACCAGAATTAATGTCATTTATGTCATCACTTTATTCATTTAGGAGTTGATGAAAAAGAAACAAGAACAATATAAAGAGGAAGGATCTGATAAGAGCACAGATGATATAGTTCTTGAAGTTCTTGGTCATGGTTCTGGATACATTAAAGGCCTCGGGTATGGTCCTAAACCTCCAAGCAGACGCAACGGTGCAAATCCTTGTGTAACTCAACAACTCCAGAAAGAGCTTCAAGAGACACAACAAAAATTACTAATGTCTGAAACACAAGTTGATGGTCTTAAAGTTCAAGTGGAAGATACCGAGAAAGAGGTGTTTGACTTAAGAAATGAATTAGCTCAACAAGCTTCAAAAATGGAGCAGCAAGCTTCAAAAATGGAGAAGATCATGGCATTTATGGCAAATCAAGGAATGGATTTGTAATCTTTAGTTTTAATTTGTGATTCCATATATGAACGATTAGATAGCTCTGAAGTTATTTAGGTAGTCAATTGCTTTATTTGTCTCTTACTTCAATATCTACACGTACACTCAGAGTCTTTTGATATTTTTATTGTTTTAGCATTAATACAATTTCTTTATTTAACTACACTTATTAATAAAGACGGTTTCTTTGTTTATTAGATCTATTGCATATGTGTTTCGATTGTGACAATTTATTTGCCACCATCCATATTTTGAATAATATTTAAAATTGTCATTATACATCCGCATATCATAATTCATCACGATTACTTCAGTTAGTGGTTATATTAATATATTGACATTTGACACTTTCGTCATCATAAATTTTTTAAATGACAGTTTATTTCACTCGAAGTTTTGTCACGTTTGACAGTAATATTCACAAAAAATATGATTGTCACTACAAATGATTCATCACCGTACATTCATATTTTATGACTATTAATTTCGTCAAAAAATCGGTGTTTTACCGACAATGCATTTTTGTCATTATTTCATTTCTTTTTTATGACACTATATATTGTCGTCACAAATAGTTATTAGTGACGGAAAAATTTATAACTAAAAAGTGCTAATTAATGACAAATTTTAATAACTATGACGAAATAAGTAACTTTATTGTGACAACTCTATCGTCACTTCAAGCCCAAAATTTAGAGAATATATCGAGAATCGTCACTTTAAATTATGTTTTTATTTACAATTTAATATGTTGTCATTAATTGTGTTAACTATTGATGACAAATTTCCTATTTAGGTGACAAAAAAAGTTATGTAAACGTGACACATTCAACGTCACAAAAAGTGATTCATAATGGTGACAAAGCTTTAAAACGTCATTAAAAAATATGTATATGGTGACGAATCAAAAATGTGTCATATACACCTAATACCACGCAACTACGGTGACGATCACTGTGACGCTCATAAGTCGTCATATAAAATCTATAGTGACAAATAATGAATTTTATATGACAAATATTTTTGTCATATAATGCCAAGATTCTTGTAGTGAGATTTATGGTTATGCTGCTGTTGCAGCAAAGAAATGTACTTATTGTTACCAAAAGGGACACAATAAGGAGGAATGTTTCAAATTAGTTGAATGTGCATACTGTGGAAGAAAGGGACACAAAAAGGATCAATGCTACAAGCTATATCTTGAAAAAATCCAAGGAATTCAGCAAATCCCGGAAAATACACAAGGAAGAACATCTCAGGGAACAATAACTTCAG